TTCTCAAATCCCCAATCATCTGCCAATTGTTGGAATATATATATGAAAATCTGACTACATTCCAGCAGCTCCACTTTTAACCACTGTAGCTCAAGAGTTACTATCGGTGTTTACCTCAGTTATGGTAACAAATGTCCTTCTGACCTTTGTTTCTACCCTTCTTCTCCTTGAATATACTCTCATTACAGTGGTCAGTGTGATTTTTTAAAGGTTATTTATTTTATGTGCATTTGTGTCTGCCTGCATGTATGTCTATGTGAAGGTGTCAGGTCCCCTGGCCCTGGAGTTACAGACAGTTGTGAGCTACTATGTGGGTGCTGGGAATTGAACCCAGATTCTTGGGAGAGCAGCTAGTGCTCTTAACCACTGAGCTATCACTCCAGCCCCAGGTCAGTGTGATTTTATTAAAATGAAATTCCTATCTTACACTGTCAAACATCCTTGCCTCCAGAAACTATAGGATTCAACTGCCTATTTGTCTGATTTCATTTCACTGTGGCTTAAGTGCTGAACATAAACTTACATGGGGCTTTTTTAGTTTTCATACCTATTTTCAGATCCACTTACCCTAAGCCTCACTGATTCACCCATTTAGAGTTTTAATCACATGTCACCTTTGCAGTGAGGTCCATACTTGACATAACTCTTAAAAGTTCAAGTCTTGAACTTTTCCTAACTTCTACCTTTACTTAACTAAAGTAATTATCACCGTCTGCTTTACTATACATGCTTTTTTATACTAATATCTTCTCTTATTACCCTCTCCCACTTGGAGGTAGGTATGCTTTCTATATGCAGACATTTTTGTCTAATTGTCTTCTCACTGATGCCTAGAATACTACCTGGTCATATTTATATATCTGATGCTTGTTGAGGGAGTAACTGAATGAATTGCCCACCTGCTTCTTTACTATGCTTTATTTTATCCAGGCATGCATGTATGGTATATATTCAAGGCAATGGTTGTTTCTTATGATTTTTAAGTTTCATAACAAATTTATCAAGATTTAATTCCTATACAGTATGATACTCCTGTTCAGAGTATGTAATTCAGTTTTTCCGAATTTTCAGAATATTGTATTCCTTACCACAGTTGAGAATATTTTCATCACCCCAAGAAATAGCCTACAATTATCTCACTCAGTCTCCACTTATCACTTCCAACTCTCTTCACCGTTTGTCACCACTAATCCACTTTATCTCTGAGTATACTCATTCTGGACACTTTATTAAGAATACTATAGTTTGGGAGAGATATTTGTGACTGATGGTTTTTGCTACATATTTGCCAAGTTCTACCATTTTGTAACATGTACTATAGCGGGTTTATAGTGGAAGATACTTAAGAGATGTATGACTTGTCAGAATAATTTTGTGTGTCACTGTATTAATTACCTTTATATTACTGTGATAAAAAACACCATGACTAATGCAACTTTTAGATTTTATAACTTCTAGAATATATTTTAGCATATGGTTCCAGAGGGTTAGAGTCCATAATGATGGGGACAGCTTGGTGGCAGGAGCAGAAAGCTGAGAGCTCACATCTTAAACTTCAAGCATTAAACAGAGATTAAACTGGTAGTAGGTGAGGCTTTTTTAATCTCAAATCCATCCACAGTGACATACTTCCCTCCACTGAAGCTGCACCACCTGGAGACCAAGTGTTCAAATGCCAGAGACTGTGGGGGACATTCTCATTCAACCTTCATGGCCATCTTTTTCCTTGATACTATACTTTGAACCATAGACATTTCAATTATTTCAGTTTATCTGAGTTTGATTGCTGTGCTTTTCATCATATTTAAGAAATCAGTGCTTAATCCAAAGTCAAGATTTACTCCTATATTTTTTTAAAGGTCTGCAGCATTAGTTCTTAAATTTTGGTCATTTTAGGTTAATATTGTGTATGTGAGGTAGGTAACTAGTTCTTTTGTGAATGAATATGTCATTGGACATGGAAGTCATATCGTCCCAACATTGTGACTAAAAAGACCACCCCACCAGCATACTACTCCACTGTATTATCCAGACACGACAGTTGAAATTTACTTGGCTATAAATTTGAAGGTTTAGCTCTATAGACTCTTGTGGGTTTAATTCTGTTCCATTCATCACAATAACTTCCTATTCATTGTTGTCAGAAGCCTTTGGGGGCAAATGGATTCTTTTGAACCTTTCTCGCCTTGCCCAGGATGTGTTCTTATTCGTTGAGAGCTCTATAACAGTTTTCTGGAAGGTGATTCCCTTGAGAAACACTTTTAAGAAAAGCACGTAACTTCTTAAATCCCTAATTTAGTGGTTTTTATTTGCCTTCATGGAGTCGTAAATGTCAGAGTTTGTAGTCATGGTTTTCCTTTCCTGCCTTCAGTCTTCTTGGCTCTCAGAGTTGTGCACTTTGGGTTCTTATTTTCTTCTTCAGGAGCTCTTTGGGGCCCCAGTGGGATTTGAGATCCAGGTAATTGTTTGCACATTAGCATGGCCTGGTGTGAAGCTTAAGACCTGCATGGACTTTCTGTTCCAGCCCCATTATACATGTGGTCGGAAGGTATTAGAGGCTGCTGGCAATCACCTTAAGGCTAGAATGCCACACTAGAACACACAGGTACTGTTCATGGTGGGCTGTTAATTTTAGAAGCTGAGTTTCTGTTCTTAAAGGTTGGAAGTTCTTTTGTTAGATTAAGAGAGCAGAAAATTGATTCTCACTGGCGCTGTGCAAAGGTTGGTAGGCAAACCATTTTATTGGCTTGCCCTTCCTAATGAATTAACTAAGTGGTAGTGAACCTCCCTGGAGAACTCCTAAAACACAAATTAAGTCTTTGAAATTGCAGTGGCGCATACATATTGATCTCTATGAGTTGTTCTCAAAATACTGCTTTCCTGTTTGTTGACCACTACATTCAGGGTCTTTTAAGACTTATTTCGGTTGGATAGTAAATAAAATATTTCTTTTGAGTAGCAATGTGAAATGATGGATTATTCTGGGCTTGCTTCTGAGACTATTAATGTAGCCTTTGTGTAGTAACAATAGGGTAGAAAGGCATCCCTAATGCTTTGACTGGCTCTTGAGATCCTATTCCTCATACTGAGTTGCCTCGATGAGCCTTAATACAAGAGGTGGTGCTTAGTATTAGCGGAACTTGATGTGCCATGCTTTGTGGATAACCATGAAGGCCTGCCCCTTAGTGAACAGAAACAGAGGAGTGGATTGGGGGGGGAGCAAAGGGGTGGTAGATAGAGGGAATGGAGAAGAAGAGGGAGGGGAAACTGTGGTTGGGATGTAAAATAAATTAATTTTAAAAAGGCATCTCGGTTAGGGTTTTACTGTTGTTATAAAGTGCCATGACCAAATCAACTTGGGGAGGAAAGGGTTCATTTAATCTATGGCTTGTAGTCTATCATCCAGGGAAGTCAGGGCACGAACTGAAGAGGAGACCATGGAGGGATGCTGTTTGCTGGTTTGCTAATCATTGCTTGGTCATCTTACTTGCTTACAGACCCAGTGACTGCCTGCATCAGGACAGTGCCACTCATGGTGATCAGGGACTCTCTTACCAGTTGTTAATCCAGACAGTACCCCCACATACTTGCCTCCATACCAAACCTATGGAGACATTTTCTCAATTAAGATCCCTCTTTCCAGATATGACTAGGTTTGTGTCAAGTTGGGAAAACCAACCAACACAGAATGCTCGTAATACTATCTGTTACTGCCTTCTGGTCTCCTTCCAGGTTTTCCTCCTGGGGTCTGGTAAGTTAATGCATGTAGCCAAATATGCTTACAAGCAGAAACTTCTGTTCTTCCAGGGATTCAGTGATAGATGTTCATTGAAAGTCTGTGTACCCCACACTGTAATTCCTAATTTCTGTAATTCCAGAAAAGTGAATACACAGCTCTACTCTTCGTTCAAGGACTAGATGTTAGAAAATAATGTTGCTTGTAACTTTATAATTCTATTAGATCATTAGTCTTTTCATGATGCAAGTTATGCTTGGGGTATGTATAATTATGTGTTCCTTAAAACAAGCAAAATGGGAGTCCTTTGTGTGGATAAAGGGATTTCACCTGTGAAAGGCTAGGCAACTCCTTTGAGGAAATGACAGTCAAGTTGATATGTTAGCAAGTAGTCATCTAGGCTTTGGGAGCAATAGAAAAGCTTTGGAGAATAGTGTATATCCTGAGGTGAAAAAGAGTATAAGCCCACAGATGCAGGAGAGTGTGTGCCCAGGGATGTAGGAAAGTGTGGTAAGGGATGTAGATGAGTGTGTGCCCAGGAATGCAGGAGTGTGTGTGTCTAGGGATGCAGAAGGGATCCGGGCTTTGTATTCTGTTCTAAGACAAAGAAAGGAAGATGTTCAATGTTTTTTAAGTAAAAGCTGCTTTGTATGTGCTTAGGACTGGGTTTTTAATTAGAAATGTGTTAACTTTTGGTCCGATTACTTGCTAAGTTTAAGTTTTCTTTAGTGCACTCGGTCTTCAATGTGCTTAGTGATTGCATGGAGTGTTGGTTACAACAAAAGGCTCATTATCTGTGGAGTTACCAGAAATTGTGGATACTGCTGGTCTCATCTTGGACCAGTAGACGAGACTTTGAATAAAAGTTAGAGCTCCAGAAGTAACTTACCTCTTTTTTATCATTGGTTTTGCTTTGTGTTTATAAACAAAATAAGATTGTTTTAAGTCATAACAACCAAAAATATTTTTCTTGGTGTGTTGAGGGTTGTATTTTATAGAAACCACTAAAGGATGTATAAATTCTACTTCTCTGTGTACTAGATATGATCTTTGACTTCACGAGGCGATATAGTAAAAAGCAGTACTAAGGAAAACAGCACCAGAAATGGATCCATCAAATGAGAGAAACTGTTTAACAAAAATTTGTGAAGTTGTAGATAGTAATATTTTGAAATTTAGATGAATACAATTTTATATTATTTTACAGTATTTTAGTAAGATTAATAAGTCTTATTGAATAGCTTTTTTTTTTACTTTTTTCTAGATTTAATCACTTGTTTGGATAATATAACTAAATTTTGGGAACCTGAATTCAGGTATGAATTTGTTCATGTGCGTGTGTGTGTGTGTGTGTGTGTGTGTGTGTGTGTGTGTGTGTGCGCGTGTGTTACAGCACACCTCTTCATTCTCGGTCCTTTATAGTGCAAGTTAACATTATTAAGTCTGATACTATCATTGTTTAAGCTATCGCTGTTTAAGACCATAATCAAACCATGCTTATTTAAAGTCATCCAGTTGCCCTATTTAAATTTTACTTTAACTGTAGTGGTTACATCTCCAAAGCAGAAGTATAACTTTATTTTATTTTTATTTTTATGTAGAAGTATATGAGATAGTCTCACTTTATGGCCCAAGCTGGCCTAGAACTCAAGATCCTCCCTCCTCTGTGTTCAGGTGCCATGGCTCTAGGTGGGACACTCTGAAGGTCTAGCAGTCTCCTAAATCTGGCAGTACTGCTCCTAAAAGTAGAAAAGCTGTTGTATCTCAATTCTATTTTAGTATCTTGATCCTTTGAAGGTCTCACACATTTATACAATATATATTGTTAATACCTATCCGCCATTACTTCCCTTGAACTCCCCAAGTACCGTCCATCCCATCTCCCTCCCAACTTCATATCCTCTCCTCTTAATTGTCATGGGTGAGTGGCCGTCCACTGGGGCATGAGCACCATACCAGTGGCCAAATCCCCAAAGGTGAGTAACTCTCCCTCTCAGCCACCTTTAACCACTCTTCACATAGGCTAGGGCTCGATAGATAGATGATGGATAGATAGATAGATAGATAGATAGATAGATAGATAGATAGATGACATATTCATAAATAGATGATAGATAGATGATATAGTCATAAATAGATGATAGATAAATAATGATATATTCATAGATGATAGATGATATATTCATAAATAGATGACTGATAGATATGTTCATAAATAGATGATTGATAGATGATATATTCATAAATAGATGATGGATAGATGATATATTCATAAATAGATGATGATAGATGATATATTGGTAGATGATAGATAGACAGACAGACAGACAGACAAACTGACATAGACAATAATAGGGTTCTTAGTGTTCTTACCGAGCACCTGCCTACAATGTCTCTGCTTTATGCCTTTGTCTTGTACTTAGACAAGAATTGACTTCTTCATTTCCCATTTCTAATCTTGCTTTATTTTCTTCTGTTAGTTACACTCCTGGCATTTGGTTTTCTAAAATACAAGTCTGATATTCCTACTTAAAACTCTTGAAACTCCTTTATCGTAATTTTTTTAAGTGTGTAGATTCCCTAACCCATTTTCCAGGGTCTTGTAAGTCCTTATAGTCTCTCTCCTTCCTAGAACCCAGAATAACCTCTCTAAAAAGTTACTCATTGGGTTGCACATGTAAACTGTCACAAGCCTTTACTGGCTTCCTATTTTTAAAAAAATGTATCCCTACTTCATAGGCCACAGGCTTCTGCAGGACTCGGGTCCTGCTCTTCTCCTTAGGCGCCTTTGTACTCACAGCCCCTTGTCAGAACCACACTAGAGCCTCCTGTTTCAGGGCCATGCACTTCCTAGCTTCTGATGTGTATTTCCCATCAATGACTTACTTCAGTGACATCTGCTAGCTCAAATAAGCTATGTCAAGTCCTGTGTAAGAGGAGCCTAGCTCTGTGGCTTAGGTGCACAGTTCTTTATTTTCCTTCTCTGTAAAATGGAAGCAGTAATAACAAAAGTACCTTCCTCATGGGATTCTTGTATGGATTACCTGAGATGCTCAGGGTACTCCCTCCTACATAGAAAATTTGCTGGATGTATTATTTTATTAAATAACAATTCTCCCAGTTATTTAAAATTCCCTCCCTCATCCCATATATCTGTGTAAGTACTGGTTGAATGTTTTCTTCTGCCATTAGAATATGAAGTCCAATGGCAGGACCTATTTTATTTGGTTAGCATTCATAAGTCACAGACATCATCAGACAACATAGTGGACATTCATATAAACCTGTGGGACATGGCAAATGGATCCTAGAGTAGAAAAACGTCTACTACTCATGACAAAGTAAAATAATCAAGGAATTGTAGACTGTGAGAAGAATTTTGCCGGTATGTTCAATGTGAATGGGCAGAAGAAAGTCTAAATGGGCTGGGGTTGTGCTCCACACTGAACTGAATCGGTGTTTATGAGTGTATGGGATTTCTGTTTGGGGTATTTTACTGCAGGAAATGAGCATTCTGTAATCTTTTACTTGTTTTAATTCTCAGTAAATACTGCCCAGCTGGCTGTCTCCTCCCTTTTGCTGAAGTATCTGGAACAATTCCTCATGGATACAGAGATGTAAGTTGAATACAGACTTACTTCACTGCTGTGTATACTGTTATTTTAAACTCAGAAGTGCTTAGGATGCCACCTGATTGTCCCAAGATGCATATGTACTATGTGTCTCTTGTCTTTTCATGTGTTTGAAATGATGCCTCTATAGTAAAACCTAACTCTTCTGCTAAAAATGTGTTTTGTTACAATAACATGTGTTTCTGAGAACCTGCCCAGATCAGCTAATTTCATGAAAAAGTACAAGTATCTTGCTTATGAATAATTAGAATAAAAGTTCATTTGCTTTTTGGTTTGTTTTCTTTTTTTTTTCAAGTCTTCACCATTGTGCATGGCTGGAATCCACGCAGGAGTAGTGTCGAATGTCCTAGGAGGCCAGATCAGTGTTGTGATTAGCAAAGGTACCCCGTACTATGAAAGCTCTTTGGCTAACAACGTCACTTCCATGGTGTAAGTGCACATTTTTTTCAGTAAGCATTCTGGGGGATGGAGTTATGTGACATTATTCTTGGGGAGACATAAATGCCAGAAGAATGACAGCACCATAGTCCAGTGTGGTGAACCAATGAGTTTTATCAGGAATAGGGTGACAGGTTCCTTACAGGAACAAAAATTAGTCAAAGGAGCTTCATCACCAAAGCTCACCCCAGTATGGGTGACAGCTCACAGAAACTGGAATCCTGGAGCTCACTGCACACCCAGCCTGTAGTGCAGGCCAGCAGGATGGAGGTGTCCTTCCCAGTGGCTCAGCTGTTCTGCACTGCTTGCCTTGTTCTGCTGTGCAGAGATTTCCTTCGCAACCACTGCTGCTTTTCTTTGCTTTGAAACAGCCTGGAGTAAGAGTCTAGGAGCTTCTGGACAAGGTCATACTTTCTTTGAAGATAAGATTCAGAAGATAAAACCATGGTCCTTGTAGTTTATGCAGCCCAGAGTGGACTGAGGCTAACTGAAATAGTTAAAGAAAATAAATTTTGACATAAAGCAGAGGCAGTATTGTAAAGCTCCTCATCACAAGAGTAGTGAACATGGATTTTCTTAGTCTCTACAATATTCAGGTATTTTGTAAAACATAGACAAGGCATCCAAATCAGGGCCAATTGAAACATTAAATACAAATACAGTATTAGCAGTCTGCTTCTAAAATCTTGCTTCTTCCATGTGCTTAGTCCTGCCGGCATTGTACTAATCCTCATTGCACCCTGCTTCCTTTTAGAAGGAAAGCTCATGGTGCATATCCAGGACATGATAGAGTAACAGAACACTTTTCTTTGAAAATCCATCTAGCAGCCAGGCGTGCAGGCACATACCCGTATTCCTAGAATGGGGACGGCAGATGCAGAGGGTTGAGTCTGAGGCCAGCTTGGACTACACAATGAAGCCCTGTCTCTAAAAACAAACAAAAACATGTCTCCTCCTCATTCTTGTTTGTTTTATCCACAGCCTTTTAATTGCATAGAAAATATTCTTAGCCTATTGCAATGCAAAAGAGGCTTGCTACCTTCCTTTTGTTTTCTGCTACAAAACAAAGATTTTATGAACATCTTTTCATTTTTTTATCTTTAGAGTTTGGAGGCATGTGTAGTTTCTCCTTCATGTGTATAAAAAGTAGATTTTCTTTAGCATTGTAAGTAACCCAGGGAAGACTTCAGGTTGACAGAGAGTAGGTTATGTACCAATAGTACATAAGATGTTTGGACATTTGCAGATTTTGATATCTTCCAGGGAGTATGAGATGTCCTGGAACTGGTTTCCACAGACATCAGGGGACAACTTGGATACAACACAAGAAGGGTGTTGTGGTGTGCACCCGCAGTTCCCAGGCTTAGGCAGTGGAAGCAAGAGCATTGGCAGTTCACCATCAAGCTGAGCTATTTTGTAAATTCAAGGCCAGTGTAGGCTGATGAGAGAGACCCTATCTCAGACAAAATAAAAAATGATTTGCATCCTCTTGTGGCCATTTGAACAATGTGTTAAGGGAGAAGTGTAACTGAGCATCCTCCAGGTCTCCTGAAGTCTTAAGTGTTCTTCTATCCTGTAACAGGGCAAGTCCTTCTCTTGGCTGACCCTTCCATCCTTATCAGCTCACCCATTCTGGCCATTCCTTTGAAGTCCAGATGTGACATTGCAGCTCACTCTCAGACATGTTGATGTTCTCCAAGGGAAATGCAGTTTCTTTGCTAGTAGCCAAATCTAGTGTGTCTCACCTTATTCTCTAAAATACACCTCTTTGTGTTCTTCCCCACAATTACAGAGAAAAGAAGTTTTATGCATTTATTTCATGAGAAAGAAATAAAATAAGAATTAAAGGTTACGTGGCACTTTGTACAATTGTGTGTGAATCTAAATGCTAGAGACTTATAGAAAAAGTTGTTCATGGTAATTTCACAAGTTGTTTTACTTAGGAAAGAACTTTTAAATGCATGTTATCTGAATTGTAGTGATGGGCTTTTCTTAGCGCTTTAAACACAGGGAAGTAACATTTCACTATAATGAATGTAAGGAAGCTACATGTTAATTGAGTATCACATGAGACCCTTTCTCTCTTTCAGGGGCTATTTATCTCCAAGTCTGTTTACATTCAAGACAAGTGGTAAGCCTTCCATGGACTTGGCATCATCATTGCGTAATAGCTGATGTATTGAGCACCACCAGGCACCTGGTGACTGCTGAGTTGCTTATTCTTTCTCGTTTGCTTTCGAGAACACCAGGAGTAAAATAGGGACCTAATTATGTATAGACTAAATCCAAGTTCACTAGTCACAAGGGAATTCTAAGCAAGTATGATCCCTTTGAGAACATGGTTTGAACTTTTGTGAAGAAAGAACCCATTCATTCCACTTGCCTGAAAGCTGGAAGTCAGACAGGGAAGGCTTTACGAGAAGATACAACACATGAGCAAAACCTAGGAGAGGTCCAGGAGGACGTTGCCTTCTAGACTGTTGGGCACCCCAGAGACAATGTAGCGTATCTCCACAGACTAACAGCTAATGCTTGTAACTACATCTAGTCCACCCCCAAATCCAAACCCATGGCTTTCACACCTACGGATTGGAAAGATTTAGAGGGAATCTTGTTTCTATGCTGTGTAGACTTTTTTCCCATGTTGTTTTTCCCTAAGCAATATAGTGTTACAACTGTGTATATCACATTTATATTTTCTTTGGCATTGTAAGTAGCCCAGAGGTGACATAAAGTTGACAGAGAGCGCACTCTGTGTCAGTACTGTCCCATTTTATATAAAAGACTTGAGATTTGCAGATTTTAGTATCTGCCGGGGAGCGTGGGATGTTCAGAATCGGTCCCCCATCAGCAGCAAAGCACGAGGCCCAGGAAGCAGTTGCTCAGGTGTGCACTGTTGTAGAGATTCCAAATTGACCTCTAGAAACCCAGTTGAGTTTTCTCTCTACTCCAGGCTGTTATGGGACTCTGGGGATGGAATCGGGTGTGATTGCCGATCCCCAGATAACAGCGTCATCTGTGCTGGAGTGGACTGACCACATGGGGCAGGAGAACAGCTGGAAGCCGGAGAAGGCCAGGCTGAGAAAACCTGGGCCTCCCTGGGCTGCTTTTGCCACTGATGAGCATCAGTGGCTGCAAATCGACCTGAATAAGGAGAAGAAAATAACAGGTTAGGAGTCGTGGCTTTCTGCAGCACTGTTAGCACTGGTTTGATTTGGAAACCCCATGACAGCTGAAGTTTTCAGAAACTAGGTCACTGAAACTTAGATAGCTTCAGCTTTAGTTTTCTTCACAGGTGTTAATGTTGCTGGGAATGCTTTTATAAATTTTGCCAAAAAGAGGAATTTCCATTAATTTTTAATAGCTCTGTTTTATTTTAATATGATCCATGTAAGGTAGAGTTTTAGTAAAGTGGTCTTTGAGTGGTCATAATCTCTTGAGACTTCTAAAATAGTAGTCTCTTACAGTTTTTAAGGAATTTATAATTAAGGAGAGTGCATTTTAAGAGCTAGAAGTAACTTACATTCCACATTGATGACTATAAATTTAGTTTAGGTGAACTTAGCAGCAATCATGATAATTGAGATTGGTTTAGAGGCTTTTGTTAAAAGATGAGTTTTGCCTTGCTACTGAAAATACCAATCATCATGGTTAATGTTCTTCCCCAGAAAAAACATTCTTAGTAGTTGAAATGTAGCGTCTAATGGTATGAATACAAGCTGCAAAGGCACAATAGTTCTTCCCTTGCATGTGCCCATAATTCTTCCTGTATCTCCAAAGGAGCAAAGCCAGGGCCTTAGTAGCTATTATGATAAAAACTGCCCACCGAGATGCAAACAAGCCATAGACAGGAATGCTCACAGGGTGCATCGGAGGTGTTTACAGCTGACTTTGGGCATCTGTCCTGTTCACTAATGAGAACAACTCTTTCTTCCCCAGGTATTGTAACCACTGGATCTACCATGGTAGAACACAATTACTATGTGTCTGCCTATAGAGTTCTGTACAGTGACGATGGGCAGAGATGGACTGTGTATAGAGAGCCTGGTATGGAGCAGGACAAGGTAATGTGGGCCTTTGCTGGAAGTTATGGAAGCTCTCTAGTTAATCTTAACTATCACGTCTTACACTGCCCTCCACTGGGTATTCCAGGTTTAGTTTGTTACTGTCTTCACCTTATGAATAGGCTTAGAAAATTGCCAGTGATTCCAGGTCTTTGGAAGTATGTGAGAAGTACTCATTTATGGTACTGAATTTTTATCTAAGTAATTTTGGCTCTCAGAGTAGGCACTTCTAAGCAGTTACATTCAACTTCTTGTCTTTGTAAAGTCCCCTAAATAATGGTATCTTGACTTCCTTCTCAGATTTCAACTATAGGCTAGAGGGAAGGGAGTCAGAGCCAAAGGCTAAAAAACATTAAAGATCACCTCACCAGTTTCTATGTCAGTACACGTCAGTTTTCCTATGTGCAAAGTTCCCAGTTTCCAGGAATACTTACGACATGTTTGCTTAGTATATTTGCTTAGTATGATGGAAACTCTGGAGTCAGCCAAGCAGGTGAGAAAACGGAAGAGGAATTGCAAGTGTCTCACCTGGGTGTCTGTGCCACTCCCAGGTTTCCAGCCTGTGATCCTTGAGAGGATCTTTAAGTGGAGGAATCTCCATCCTCCAGGGCGATGAATGCCATGTGGAGTCGGAGCTGATGGCATTTTCTGTCCATGAGACTTGCAGGCTTTTCCTTCAAATGCTTTCTCACCCACTTACTTCATAATCTCTTGGGGCGATCTCACAGTGGCATTCATTCTTTAACCCTTTCCATGATTCAGTTTGCAGATTTCCTTTTTTTTTCCTTTCCATTGTCTTATTCTTCTGCAATGTCTAATCTTTTAGCCCCATCTTAGTGCATTTTTAACTTCAATACTGTATTTTTCCCTTCTTTATTTTCACCTTCATAGGTATGGTTTTGGTGCGCTTATCCAATAACTTTATCTTACATTTCATAGTGCCAGCCGCCATGCCATTGATGACTGCTGGGTGCTTTTGGTTATCATTATTAGTCCTTTATGTGTTTCTGCTTTCTTCTGGAATGCAATTAAGCTTTTGGGAAACATTTTTTTTTTTCTATTCAGGTCTTGATTCTAAGTATTGCTAGGCAGGAATGAGCAGCTTTGGGTTCTAACTTGCCAGCCTCCATAACACAACATCCCATGTGTTATGAAATTTCTCCAATGTGTGTCCTAGAGATGTGGAGTGTTTTCAAGCCTGTGTTAACTTAAGATTGTTCTAATGGTCCTGGGGTTCTTTTTCTCACTCTAAACTGTGTCTTTGCCTATGGCCGAGGACTGAAGGGAAATCCCCTTGCAGAGCCTGGTAGCCTTTCTCTAGCTCATCCATTCCTGCTGTCATTCACTCTGTTCCTCTCCAGCTCCTCACTCTACTAAAGTCTAGCCCTGGAATTCTAGATGTCCGTTGGCCTCATGGTCTCTGGCTCTGTCTGCTCCACCGAAAGAGCAGCAGGTTCCAGATGGGGTCCTCTTGCCCTGTGACCTGGAAATTCACCAGTGAGCACTGATAAGCAGGGCTCATCTTGGATGTTTCCCTTGTCTGTGTTTCTTACCCTCTGCTGCCTGTTGCCAGTGTCTTGAGAACTACTCTCATGCACTTTCCCATTTTCTCAGTTGTTTATGGCTGAGGTCCAGTTCCTGCCACTCGGTTACAGACAGAAGAGAACATCTTTACATTGATTTTCGTCAAAAATAGTCTTTCTTCTCCCTCAAATCTGTCCTTCTGCTCATTTCTTGGGTGATTGATGTATTTGTTTTCGCGTGTCATTTAAGTCTGCACATAAATACAAACCCTAAATTTGATTTTATTTCAGAAAACATGATCAGTATATTTCCTAAACTTTCATAATCTGTTGCTTTCTAATATTACACCATCTTTGTATACGCTTGTGTGTAGGGAGAATGAGAGAATGTGTGAGAGCTAATGCCCCAGATGACATACTCCTTGCATACGGCTTTATTTCTGTTTTTATTTTTCCCAAGGGCATCTTCAAACCTCCCTGTGCACTGGATTCTCAGTAAATGTTGGTAGACCAACTATGGCATTTTGCTTTTGAGACAGGGTCTCATATAGTCCAGCCTGGATTTAAGCTGTGTAGCTGAGGATGATCTTGAACTTCTGATTCTTCTGCTTCTACCACCAGCAGTCTGGGATTATAGACATGTTCCTCCCCAGCCAGTCTTATGTGGTGATGGGGTTGGGCTTGGGGCTTGTGCACATAAGCAAGCACTCTACCAACTGGGCTGCATCCCCAGCCCTTGCCTATAGTTTTGCCCCAAAATGATGTTTCAGTTAGTTCCTGTTCTCTGATACCAAAAGTGAAAGGATCTGCCTTTATTCCATTTCAGAGCAGTATCTGAGGAAACCATAGACGTTTACAGAAGTGGAGGTTATTGGACTCTCAGAGCAAACCTTTAGCTCCTAATGTATCTCCAAAAGTGTATAATCTAGTTACATGTAGATGGGTCAAAAAAAAAATAGTTATCATACTCGGAGCTGGCTTGTCAAGTGTGTGCATATTCTCATCTTAGGTAGCAATAGAATGGACCTTGTTGATTTGGCATGAGGGGAAAGCAAGGCCCTGCTTAACTTAGTGCACTCCAGTGGTTAAGTCAGAGGACTCAGTCAAGTCAGCTCCCTGCCACTGGTCACCCTTATTCTATGGGTCACTCTTTCTGTGCCCTGCCTTGCAGACAATTTATAGCAAATGTATGAAAATACTTTGTAAGTTAAGAGCTGATGGAGATGAGGGAATGAGATGATCACTTTAAATCATGTTTTTACTTACAGAGTATTTATGTAATGCATTTTTAGCTGTTTAGTTACAGTCACTATATAGACAGAACACTGTTCAGAGTTATTGCTTCTTAAGTAAGCAACAACTGGGGTTGTGATGTCGGGAATGTCATAATGCAGTTGGTCCAGCAGGTGGAGGTAACAGCTTGTGTACATTTGCTAGTCTTGTGTTCAGGTCCAGCAGAGGGAGAAGACAATGTACATGAGTAAAGCAATTCAACCAGTCCCTTGTGTGATCAGCTCTTTTTCACTTTGAAAATAAAATCAATATCTTTAAATAATCATTAATTCCACAGGGACTGGGGCTGATAGTTTATTGATACAATTAACTATGTCCCTGCAATGGAAATTTCTCCCGAATTGCCAGGTTAGCTCTTCTGTTCAGTTCTTAAGCTGTTGTAAAAGCATTTTTATAATGAGTGTTTCCCTAATATAGACTCCAGTGGAAAATGTGCAACTTCTTAATCATTGTTTTTCCAAATTGTAATTAAGGCATTTTCTGAGCAGTCTGTTCTATTGTCATACTTTACAGATGTTTAAGATGAACATACTTTAAGATGAACATGCTTAAATGGAGCAGTCCAGTTCTGGTATCTTTGATGTAAAATACCAATTTTTGTTATTTTTTAAAGATATTTCAAGGAAACAAAGATTATCACAAGGATGTTCGTAATAACTTTTTGCCACCAATTATTGCACGTTTCATTAGAGTGAACCCTGTCCAATGGCAACAGAAAATTGCCATGAAAGTGGAACTCCTCGGATGTCAGTTTACTCTCAAAGGTAAAGCGCCAGTGTGTATATCAGCGGTCTACACTGCTTCCCTTTTCAATTTTCCTACTTAACTGACACTTGGTAATCACCTATAGAGGACACTGTGACATTTCTGTACATGTTCTCAGATAGAGTGATCAGGGTAATGGTCCTCTCTGCCACTTCATTTCTTTGTATCTGAAACCTTTCAAAGTCCTCTCTCTGGTTGGAATTGCTCCTCTGTGTTCCTTATAAAAAGCTGACCATCAGAATGGTTTTAAAATACAAATGAAAAGGCAGCATTGTCCTGACTCTAGTCTTAAAGAGTCTCATCACCTTTAGTGTGGCCACATATATACGCTGGAGATTTGAACAACAGCCTTAGCATAAGGAACTTTTATTTCTAAATAATTAAAATCTGTAATAATTCACTCAATATTTTATAACATTTTAATGTTATTTACTATTCTTTCTTTTCAAGACAAGGCTTCCCTGAAACTCACCTTGTAGACCAGGCTGGCCTCAAACTCAGAGATCTGCCTGCCTCTGCCTCCCAAGTACTGGGATCAAAGGCATGTGCCACCACCTGGCTATAATTTACTCTTATGTCCCACAAAACTCCCACTGTGCCTGATGTAGTTAGCTGTCCATACATATGTATTAAATGCACTGGATATAACATACACTGAATTATAGCTATGAAGAAGCCTTCTGCTCTCCAGCATTCTTCTAAGTGTCTATTAATGATTATTTAAACACTGGGAAATCTTAGTTTTTTCTGTATTTGATGTAGAGTGTAATTATCCATCTGGATTTTGAGATTTCAAATTGCTCTGCAGAATTGGTTTAGGAAATGTTGACCATTTAACATCAGTCTTTTTAAACTATGACTTTTTTAAGGCATGATGTGTAAACATTTCTAAACCATTTTTAAGGCCGTCTTCCAAAGCTTACTCAGCCTCCACCACCTCGGAACAGCAATAACCTCAAGAACACTACAGCTCCTCCCAAACTAGGTAAACGTATGCCTGCTTTTAATATGAGAGTTTGATATGCCCTGGATTTGTGACATAATGTCCTATATATCTAAAACATTATAAAAATCAACTTACCTTATCAAGCTGCTAATGATAAAAAAATAAAGATTTCTTCAAACTTTTTTTCAAGGTCGTGTACCTAAATTTAACCAAGCACTTCAGCCTCGAAGTAGGAATGAACTTCCTGCACAGACAGCACAGACAACTGCTACTCCTGATATAAAAAATACAACTGTAACTCCCAATGTAACCAAAGGTAGGCAGACTAGACCAGGCGCGGACACTGTTACCTGGTGGGGGTTCTTGTTTTCAACTCGGGGTTTCCAGCTCTCCAGCTCACAGACTTCATCTGTACTTTTGCTGCTCATACAAAGAAAATGAACTTCTCTCTTAAGGGAAAAGCCCTCATGTACCTAAGTCTGTTCCTCTGGTACATAAAAGCCTGATGCTTAACTATTGCTCTGGGCTGTTCTGTAGGCCGCCTGTATGACGCCCATCAACTAAGCACACTGTCTCAAGCTCAGATGTGTATCACTTCTAGGCTTGATTAAGCCACAGCAGTAAACAAGCTTTTTTGCCCACAGTATGTGTTACTTTACAAACAGGAAAGTTAATAGAGGAGAGGATGAAACAAAAATAGGACTTTGGGGTAAAAAAACACATACTTCAAGTAACATTCTCATTTTTAAAAAACCCTCTGCTTTCTATACATTTGTAATTTTTTTCTGATTATTCATTCAAACATTAGAATTACTTCTAAATTGTATGAAGAATATGAGTACAGTGTTAAAAGGCACAAACCATTGCAGTTCTTTTTACTTGTTGAAAAGAAAATTTTCAGTTAAATTCAGAAAATAAAGTGCTAGTGTCATAGGAGAATTCCGGCCAGCGCTAACAGATGAAATCCGCTCATTTTCAGTAAAGTGTGGAAAAGAACGAATTACTAGGGGAAACACTAGGTCCTGTCTCATTAATAAAAGTGCGAAGCTCTGGGATGGTTTTATAACATCCTGAGAAGGAAACAGCAGGGCAGCAAGCTGTAAATCTGCACAGCTGCAGAGTCAGAGGGTTGGAGAAGAGGAGAAGAGAGAGCTGGCAAGCAGGATGAGCAGCTGGGGGGGGGGGGATACACATAGGACATCTGAAAAAGAGAGAAAGAAGGAAAAGCATGCTTGGTGCCAGGCTGTGGTTCTGGGTTCAGAGATACTGGACTGATCCCAGACTCTTATGTCTCCACACTGAGGGTTGTACCAGGGACACGCAGTTAGAAATAAAAGTGGAGAGACAGTTTATGAAAAAAAAAAGAAAAAGTGTATCAAGAGTGGAAGTGGAGTTAGCTGAAAGAAAGCCCCAAAACTGTTGGGACATAAAGCGTGTAGCCACCTATAGGACCTTTAACTGCACTGACTCCCGTGTGTATCACTGGCTTTTCTCAGGCATTCTCTACTTGTACTTAAAAATCTTGGGTGGGAAGTCTTGGCCTGGTCTGTTTTCTTTCATCTTGATGTTTCCCTCTCTAGTCACTACCCTCCAGCCACTAGAGGGTGCCTAATCCACAGTAGCGCCCCACCTGCCCCTTCTGGAATTTAACTGCTTTCGTTTTCTAAAAATTTTATGTAAATCAGATAACTTTCTCCAACTTTCCATACATGAGCTTCTTTCCTGTCTTCATCTTCCTCGTGGGGTAGGAAAAGCTAAACAGAAACAAGAGTACTCAAGGCAAATAGAGCTGAGCATATCCCAGGAACCACTCCCAGGTTCCCAATAGTAATGCAAACGTACAATGCTTTTTCTGAATATAAGCTGAACTGTTTGTGTTTACGTAAGATGAGAAGACAACCTCAGTTGTGTTCCTTGGGCGCCATCTACCTTTTCTGTCAGATAGGGTCTCTTTCTGGCCTGGAACTTGCCAACGGAGCTGGCTAGCGAGCCTCCACCACGTCGCCAACACTCCGAGCTTTTTTGTGTTTTTAACATGGGTTCTGGAGACTGAATTCAAGACCTTGTGCTTACAAGGCAGCTACTTCACTAGCGCCTGTGTCTAGGCAGAGGTCGTGGTGTCAGGGCTTTAATTAGACTAGTCATGTATATACACCTGTACTGTTCCATCCAGCTATTAAAAACATTAAGGAAAGCCGGGTGGTGGTGGTGCACGCCTTTAATCCCAGCACTCGGGAGGCAGAGGAGGCGGATCTCTGTGAGTTCAAGACCAGCCTGGTCTACAAGAGCTAGTTCCAGGACAGCCTCCAAAGCCACAGAGAAACCCTGTCTCAAAAAACAAACAAACAAACAAAAAAAAAACATTAAGGAAAGGACGTTTTTATTTTTCTGATTTCTGAGGGCTTCCTGGCCTCGGGCATGATTTTAATTTATCTACTACTATTGCTACTACTCCTCTTCCTCCTCCTGCATTTGGTTTCCTGGAGAAAGTCATGCTGTGGTCAGATGTGTGATGGCAATCTTACAGATGCCTCCAGTGAGCTACTCCTCATATTCTCAAACACTTGACCAAGGGAGTTTCCACTCACCCACGTTTCCCCTCCACCTTTACAAGGTGGAGACTATGAAAAGGAAAATCCCTTTTTGGGAGGAGCCTGCAGACTTAACCAATAGCCTCTGTCCAAGGCTTTTGTAAAGGAAGCCTTCTGTGCTGCCCACGGAGTCCCTTCCCCTGGACCTGGTACCTGCATCTGCTTCCTAAGTACCTGACCTTACTGTCACCCTCTCCTGGTCCCTCTTCTGTGGTGTGCTTCTTCCTCTCTTGGGTGCAGTGGAGTGAAGAGTAAAGGAGATGCTATGGGTTAGACTCGCAGTGGCTGCTCTGAGCCCAGTGACTTGTCAGCATTTGCTGCTCCTGTCCTGCTCACTGGCAGCAGAGGATTGAGAGGAGAAGGAAGGAATTAGTATTCCAAGTAGCTTTAAGCAGACCATTTTCTGTGGGACGTGATGAGGATGGAAGGTGATGTCTGCATCCCTGTCCACTCCAGCATCAAGTGCATTTCTGACTATTTACACACAGATTGCTTTCTGTGCTTGGCTCCACTGTTACCTGGCCATATCTACAGAGACTTTGTCTTGATATTGCAACATCATTTTCAGTTGCTAGATTATCTCATCTATGGTGAAGATAGCACAGTTCATCACTGGATCTTCGGATTCCAGGTTTCACTCTTCTGCAGAAATTAGAATGGGAAACTTTGAAGATGTTTCTTTGAATGTCTTGATGTCTTCTCAAGGATAAGTTCATGATGTAGAATGGCAGCTTTTAATGGCTTCTTATACATACTGCCTCAAAACAGCAATCAGAAATACAGTATTCATATTCTTATCAACAAACCTGTTTCCTGCTATCCTTCCTCAAAATGCCCATTCTTCTTTTAATGGCTGCCAATCTTGAGCAAAAGTAGAACCTCGTTTTGGTTTTAACTGGCATTTCTTTGCAGTAGAGTCTTGCTTTTATTTTCTTGACGGATTGCTAGTTGACCATGAAGTTGTTATTACATCGTTTTTGGCCTGTGATATCTTACAAAACATACTCAACTATGTATACCTGAGATGCTTTTCTGGTTGATCATTTGTCTTTCAACTTTTGGCAATTTAAAGCCTAGACTGCTTTCAAACATGTGCACAGATAGAACGGGGAGCATGCTGAAGGAACTGTCCACAGGCTGTGTCACCCATTTGTGACCAGCCTTGTTTCATAATGATGTTTAAGATTCTTTGAGACAAAGTATTGAGCTATGATAATCTGGTTCAACTTCTGTCTTTTCCTTCACGATTTCTGCTCCACGGGTTAATGTGGTTGTTCTGTTTTATGACTTCAGATGTCGCACTGGCTGCCGTTCTTGTTCCTGTGCTGGTCATGGCCCTCACCACACTCATCCTCATTCTGGTGTGTGCTTGGCACTGGAGAAACAGGTCAGTAACAAGCTTGTTTACATGATTGATCCTCGGAGACATGCAATGATGGGAAACAGACCCTAGGTATATATAATACTGGAAGTCCAGTACATTCACCTGTTAGGATAGTCACTAGAATAACACCAGGTCTCTCCTTCAGCTCCAAGGACAGTTGGTTACTGTGGAGCTCTCATGGTAAGTGAGGTCTACATTGTACATTAGCATCTATACATTAAGATGAACACTGACATACAGCTATTTAGTAATACTGAAAAAATTTGACTGGTTGACTTCTCTAACATGTTTAGTGGGGTTGGCTGACCAAAATAACAAACATATAAGTGTTATATAAATGAATTACCCAGAAGACCATGAAAGTCAGCCTGAAACCCTCTCTTCAGGTGGGACAGTTCATGTTTTGCCTAAAGAAATGGGATCTGCCCAGATAGAAGAGAGTAGATGTCTTAATGTTCAGGTTTCAAGAAGAAAATACCATAAAACAGATAGTTTGTAAAACAAGTTTCCTTGTTGTAGTTCCGGAGACTGAGAATTGGAACAAGAGGTGCTGGCACAGGAGTGGCTCAAGAGACCCCTTTGTGGGTCAGACAGTGGAGGAGGGGTGAACAAGCTCCCTTAGGCCTCTTCTAGGGGTACTGATTCCAATGAAATCATGACCTGATCCCTCCCAAGAGCCCCACTTGCCAACACTATCACCATGTGGGGTTAGGATTCCAACATCTGAATCCTGTAGAGAGACAGGCATTCACAGTCTTATCACAGTTAAGAATAGACTAAACTGGGGGAATTGCTTAAGACAAGACAGAGATGAGATGGTAGGCTATAGAATAAGCAGTGAGTCCTCTCCTATGAGCCTGGCATGGGGGTGTACCAATGTAACTATGGAGGCACTCTCTGAGCTTGGGTCAGGAAGGGCTTTCTGGTTCTGTTGTATAGATTAGAAAGCATTTGGTGTTAAACTGACTGGTTTTAATCAGATGACTGTAGAAAGCGACAGGGTTGGGTCAGGTGAATAGTAAAGAGGTAAGAAGAGGCATCCAGATGATTATGGAACTGTTTGGTCAGGCAGAAGGACAGCACCATGCTTCTACAGAGAGGACATGCTTTACAGCATGGCAGAAGGGTGCAAGACTAGTGCATGCGAAGGGAGATGCAGCATTATTCTGGGGTGGGCTGCCATTTCTGGCTTTTGGAGTGTGACTAGTAGCAGGAAGGACAGGTTTGATGGAGAAAGCAGATGACTTCATGTGCTCACCATTCAACAAATATTTGAATACTTGGCTGCCACCTTGTACCATGTGCAACCCATGTGCTAAAGATCTATACATCCCAGCAGGGAAATAAATGGCTTGAGATCTTTATGAAAACCACACTGGTGATCTCAAACAAATCCTACAGCTTTGTGTATCCTCATATGTAAAGCAGAGTAATTTCTGCTTTCTTGGTAGCCTGACTGTAAACACTAACTTTAGTTAGATTAGATTTGCACAATTCTATCAATGGCCTTTCATTTGCTGGGTTTTCTTTGTAAACAGCTGAGTAAGTAGTAATATTTTTTTGTTTTTATAATGTGTATTTTTATTAGTTGAGAATTACATAATTACACTTTGATCATACTCACCCTCATCCCAACTCCTCCCAGATCTACCCTCCCTTCATTCCATACCCACTCAATATTATCTGTCCACACCTGTCCAACTAAATCAGTGTTTGTATACTTTTGGGTGTGTGGCCATCCACCTACCAGGGACCACACCTCTGAAGAAAACTAATTCTCCCTCTTTTGGTAGCTTTTAATTACCAACAACTCCTCAGAGGGGTTGGAACTTCATGACCACCTCCCTTTTGTTTGCTGGAATTTGATCTGGCTTGATCTTTACATTTGTATCCTGTGTATATAGTTGTACATATACCACGACACACATGTGCACATTGAGGACAATTTGTGGGAATCTGTTTTTCTCCTTCCACCCTGTGGCTTCTAGGATGATGAAACTCAGGTCCTCAGGCTTGATGGCAAGCCCCTTTACCAGTGGAACTGTCTCCCCAGCCCCAGTGAGATTGTTCCCTGTATCTGAAAATGTCCTTTTTTCACTGCTGGTTTCCTGATGTAAAAGGCTCTGGGTAAATAGTGATTCTTAACAGACAGTAGTACTCCTGGCAAGGACAAATCAGAATTGAGAGGGTGGGGAAGTAGGCTGGGAATAGACGTGTTCATCGTACGTGGGCCTTTTTCTTCCTCACAGACTCTGGAGGGCCTTCCAAGCCTGCAGGAGCCTTCTCACCCCCTCCCCCCAAAACTGCTTGTCACTGCTAGTGACAGATATCGATACGGTTGTTCACTGGGCTTGCATGGGTGAAGATGTCTGTACATTAGGAGTATGAGAGGCTCAAACCTTATCTGAGCCAAAGGACCACGTGCTCCTGACTAGTTCATAACTGCTGTCTGTGCTGCTCTTTGGGAGATTTTTTACTAGAGGATTCACTGTCTTCTAACTTTTAATTTCAGAAAGAAGAAAACAGAAGGCACCTATGACTTACCACACTGGGATCGGGCAGGTAACTTGTGGACTTAGCGTCTTCTAATCAGAAAGAAATCTTTCCTCTGCTGGGTGTGGAGCGGGAGGAGGAAAATGTTCTCAGACCCTTAGTGATGATGCCTCAGTTAGAAATTAACATACTTGGGCTGGAGAGATGACTCAGTGGTTAAGAGCACTGGCTGCTTTTCCAAAGGACCCAGGTTCAATTCCCAGCACCCACACAGTGGCTCATAACTGTCTGTAACTCCAGGTCCAGGGGATCTGACACCCTCACTCAGACATACATACATATAAAACACCAATGAACAAAAATAAAAATAAGTCATTAGAAAAAAATAAATTAACATGTTTCCACCATTTGTTTCATAAATAATAAAAGGAGGAATATAAATTTCTTACAACACCCATTGTTATCTTTTCCTCTGTAAAGTTGTTTTTTTCCTGCAATTATTCCTCTTGAGGAGACCAGCCTTCCATGTGGTCTGTGTAACCACTGAGAAACAAGGACCAGCCAAGCATTGGTGCACACACCTTTAATCCCAGCACTCAGTAGACAGAGGCATGTGAATCTTTGTGAGTTCAAGACCAGCCTGGTCTACAAGAGCTAGTTCCAGGACAGCCTCCAAAAGCCACAGAGAAACCCTGTCTCGGGGGGGGGGGGGGGGGGGAGAGACAATGCCCAGGGCCCCAGTAACAGTATACATATGTGTGTGACTCTACCATGGTGATCACCAGTGGAATCCAGATCTTTTAAGAACTTGTGAAGGCCTTGGTCATATGAATTGCTGAAATCCCCTTCCTAGTCTCATTACTAGGTCAGTGCTATGACCAGAGTATATAAAGCTTCTGGCTAAACAGTCCAGCCCAAGGACAATTAAAAAGTGTTGGAGGTTTTGAGAAAAGCTCTTTAAAAGTCCTGAAATGACCCTGTATGACCATGTATTAGTAGTGATTTATTTCTGCATGCACATTGGGTCAAGACTTTTGCCATTTGCTGCTTTGTGCTGGACATTCTGTCAAAGCAAAGTCACCTCAAACATGAACCTGATTTCTATAGAATTGGTCTCTGTAAGTAATACATGGTCCCTGGCTTACAATCACAATGAAGGTTGGTGGAAAGGAGTGAAGCAGTTTCTCCCTGCCAAATCCCTGGAACATGAGGAGACTCCAGTTCGATACAGCAATAGTGAAGTTAGTCACTTGAGTCCGAGAGAAGTCACCACAGTGCTACAAGCTGATTCTGCAGGTAAGACTACGAAAAAAAAAAACACAAAAAAAACAAAACAAACAAACAAACAAAAAAACACTTATGCTTGTTCTAAGGACTTTCAGATTTACAATATGTTTGATCTTTTTCATAAATTAAAGATAACCTATATTTTGGGGCTGGAGAAACAGTTTAACACTTACGAGCACCTGTGGCTCTTGCAGAGGACCTGAGTTCCATTCCCAGCGCCCACACAGTGGCTCACAACCATCTCTGTAACTCTAGTTCTGGGTGATCATACCCCTTCTTTGACCTCTGCAGGTACCAGGCACACAACATGGTACACAGGCATGCATGTAGGCAAAGAATCATACATATTAAAAACACATAAGATAAACTGTGTTCTGAAGGTTAATGTTTTCAAAAGATAACCTTGAGATAATAAATCATTTCTGCTTAGTTATTCTGTTATAAAACTGAAGCATTCCTTTCTGAAGACACTGGGCATTATATCTATTAGCCTTGGGGTTGGTTTGCTAGCCCAATAAATAAGTGAGCCCCAGGTCTCGGTGAGAGACACTGTCTCAACAAAAAAAAACAAAACAAAACAAAAACAAAAAACAAAAAAAAAAAAAAACACACAGTGAACAGCTCTTGAGAAATAATACCCAGTTGTTGACCTCTGGCCTCCATATGTACATGAACACCAGTACATAAAATAATAAGAGACCAGGAAAAACTGAAGGACAGTAGCATCCTGCTGCTGCCCTAGTACTTGTCCATTCTAACCGTTTCCTGATGCCTCCAAAGGCAAAAGGAGGTGACGTTTCCTAAGACACATGCTTACTCCATCAAGAAAACACTTCCTTCCATTCAGGCACTGCTTTTAAAGCTAAAGAGCATCCACAAATACTTGGTGCAAAAGTATAGGAATGCGGCTTTTTGTTGTGTCAGGTTACTATTGTAAGGTGCTAGATAACATATTTCCATGATGTAATGTTTGGTTTTGGTACAACCTGTAGCTGTCACCTTAAAGTTACGTAATCTTTTTTCATAAGACAAGTGTCCCATTGTGTTTTGTGGTACCCACAGAATACGCACAGCCCCTCGTGGGAGGAATTGTTGGCACACTCCATCAAAGATCTACCTTTAAGCCTGAAGAAGGAAAAGAAGCAGGCTACGCGGACCTAGATCCTTACAACTCTCCAGTGCAGGAAGTGTACCATGCCTATGCTGAACCGTTGCCCATAACAGGGCCTGAGTATGCGACCCCGATCGTCATGGACATGTCAGGGCATCCCACAGCCTCAATTGGTCTGCCCTCTACATCCACTTTCAAATCGGCAGGGAACCAACCACCTCCCGCTTTAGTGGGGACTTACAACACACTCCTCTCCAGGACTGACAGTTGCTCCTCCTCGGGCCGGGCTCAGTACGACACCCCGAAAGGCGGGAAGCCAGCCGCTGCCCCAGAGGAACTGGTGTACCAGGTACCACAGAGCACCCAGGAAGTAGCAGGAGCAGGAGGGGATGAGAAGTGTGATGTTTTTAAAGAAATCCTTTGACGGTGGTGCTGCTTTTTACAAAGCATCCATTTAAAGCACATGGCTTTTTTCATTTGTAGTGGTAGTAATAGTAGAATGTATTACGTATCTGTCACTGAAGTGGTTAGGGGAATGTGGTGACCGAGGTACAAGAAACTACTTATCTTGTCATCTTGCTTTAAAGGTGTTACTGTGTGGCACATTTACAGCTTGCCTGTTACATTTCAAACATCCTGTTTGTTACTACTGTAAAACACTATTTTTAATACAGAAAAAACTCCCTATCATGCACTTCAAAGAACCTGAAAAAAAAAATCACTGAGTATTTATTACCAATGCTGCAGGTACATTAATGAACTTGAGATGGTTCTGTAAGCCTTGCTGGCAATAATGCATGGTACTGTTCTTGAAATATCAAATGGCTTGAAAATTCTCCCTTTGTGAAAGGTAGGTACTATCATGTTCTCCTCTTTCCACCCTGCATCACTGTCTGCAATCTTTTTTCTTCAAAACAGCAATCCATAAACATTGTCCTAGCTGCAGCCGTGTACACTGCTCTTTATTTCCTTAGGAAGGTGCATAGCTGGAGCACCCTACCTTGCAGTACACTGGGTGACAGACTTCTCGTGTGATGACACTGTTCTTAACACCTGGTGGCACAGGTCTCACCTATGCTCATCCCACCCAGGACATCTTGTGGCCTTGCTCAAACCTTTGTTTATAAATGCTGGTGGCCTCTTTTTCAGTAGGCAGTCTCTCCCAGTTGTTAAGTCTACATCTTCCTATGGAGATGAGAGAGAAGCAACTTACAATTTAGAAAAGCAGTAAAGGGAATAATCCTTCTGCTTCACTCTGCAGTGATACTTAAATTACTTTATGAAAGAACTGGAGACTAAAGCTTAATTAACCTCCTTGGTTTTTATCTACACACAAGCCCAAATGCAAAACTTTTCTCTGAGTCCCAAGGTATGTTATAATTTCAGTCATACCTTTTTTCAATTTTCTCCAGTAAACTAATATAAGAAAAAGAAAACCAATGTGAACTAGACCTGATTGATGGCTCAGGCCTGAAGTCCTAAGTACCTGGGAGGCTGAGGTGAGAGTTTGAGGTCTACAGCGTAAGTTCAGGATTAACCTAGGTCACTCATAAAATCCTGTCTCAAAATAAGACGGGTGTGGGGATATGTCTCAGTGGCTTGTGCTTGCCTACAGCATGAGTGAGGCCCTAGATTCAATCCTAGTACTACAAAAGAGCTAACATGCATTCTTCAGTTCTGTGTGATTCTGTGGGAGGAGACCTAAGTGGTCCTTTGTGTCAGACCTGGCCAAACGATGGCAGAGCATCGGAACTATATGTGATTCTTCCCAGCAACTTACTTGTCGCTGCTTGAGCATGGCCTGCCCTGCACTTGTTTCAGATAGGGTAAATCAGACATTGTAATGAATTAGCCTGTAGTGCAGAAATCACCTTCTAACATCTGTTGGCTGGCAAGATAACCGAGGAGCCATCAGATGTAGACATAGAACTTCGTATTGCTGTCCACAAACCAGTTTGTTGGTTTAGTTTTAAAGTATACTGGGCCATCAGGCCCTGGTCATTTTTCTCAGCTTGTACCATCCAGGTTACACATATTGACAAACTTGACTAAATTTGGATAATGGTAAACAGTATTGACTTTGCTTCCTTCCACAAATACATCAGTATTGTAAAACATTGCTTCAGAAACAGAACTGTTTGATTCTGCAGGTTGTCTCCTCCTCCTCCAATTGTGTTGTTTTTATTGTAATTTCCTTTTATTTTGCAGACTGAGGCACCATTACACTCACTGAAAAATCAATGCATATTTTGTTTCAGAGTAATGAAGCAAAAAGCACAGATATTGAACTTGTACTGAAACATTAAAGAATGTGTAAAGCACACAATGTAGTTGTCCCCTTTCAGGTGGGAACGAAGTAAACCACTTGCTGTTTTTTTCATGCTTAGTATGCAGAATAGAGTTTTCTTGGAGTCAGATTCCCGTTGGTAGCTTTAAGAGAGACATTTGGAAGATGAAGTCATTTTCCCAAAGAAGCTTGCTATTTTGTGTAACTGTGTCTCAGATAACTTTCCCCAGAACTTTTTAAAAATAAGTTCTCCATGCTTTCTGGTATGATATTGTAAGACTTGATTCATATTGCCACTGTGCTGTCTTTGAACTCTACCAATGGTTTTCACAAACACCTGGTTGTTTTTACATATTTTCAACTTTGCAGATGAAGAGCTGAGCCTCATTCAAATGATTTTTTTCTGGTTTTGTATTTTTACTTTGGTTTTATATTATAGATTGTTTTGGGTTCTCGGTCACTTACATGTCTGATACAGAGCTTTGGAAGACAATCAAGTAAAATGTGAAAGGAACCATTTCTTGACCAAATTCCTTGATATGTTTTTTAGTTCTTTGCTTGAAATACTTAAGTCACTGTGGTGTATCTGGTTTTTCTTTTCCAGATAACACACTTATAGGAATATGTAGACAGCAGTGTGGCAAGCGTGACCTTTGGAGGTTTCATAAAATTGTACCGACTTGGCTGTTGCTTGCTTCTTGGAACCAGTACAGATTAAAGAGGTTGTGAATTCTGGTTTGCATTTTATTAAATGCTGTTTAGATCCAAGTAGTTCCTGTCAAATGTGCCAGGTCTAGTCCAGTTATTTAATTCATGTTTCACTATTTGCACTTTGCATTGAACAATGGTCTATTCGCTGTTCACTTAGAGAATTTATACAGTCATTATGGTTATGGTGTGTTCTATGTATGTGCTTCTCCTCTCCCTGTCCCAGGGACAAAGCACTAAATAAGGATGTGGCCACAAAGCTGTGGTCAGGGATTGAGTAGGAGCTTCTTTGCCTTGGCTCCGCATTGTCACCTGGAAAGTAGAAAACCAAGGCAGACGAGACCACTTTAGAAAGAACCCAGAGACTATGGGGGGACACTGGGAGGTTTCCAGACCCTCTGTGGAGAACTGATGAAGCTCTGTGTAGGAGTTGTTAATTCTACCTTTTGGTTTTGAACTTGAAGTCCCTAAACTGCAAAATCTAGTGAGTTGGATGGTTCGAGTGTGTTTAGGTTAACTGTGGCACCAATTTTTATTTAGTCCAGCTTGTGTGTAGTTTCTCTTGTTTTCCATTTTTGGCACTAGGAATGGTAAAAATAAAACATGTATTGAAATACAGAGGAAGTGAAAATGGCTTGAGTGTCAGTTATATTCTCCCAGAATGTATTTTTCTTACCTCGGCATGTACTGTAGTCACTTGATATCTGTATATGTTGCTAGAATTTAGGCTGTTTAAAATAGTAAGATTCTAATGTGTTTTTAATAAATTATATGTGTGTCTTGCTCAGATTATTTGGATTAAATAAAACACCGTTGACATCAGGCTCCATAAACTGCCAACTTTCTCAACACTGACAACGGTCACATTTTTATGACCAAGATTATAGTGCCTGTAGCATCATTTCAAAACGCTCCCATTAGTTTTTCTCCTTTGCTCCCCTGTCAGCTCTACCCTTTTTCAAGCCTGGGAAGCCCAGGTCCCTGTGGCCATGTGGTAAGAGGGAAAAATACCCCATGAATATGGTGAGTCCTCTGGTGCCCAGATTCTGCTTGGAGTTACGAAGCTGGGCCCTGTGCTGATATGAGCTAGCCTCACTGTCTGACCCCTGCCAAATCAGCAACTAACTCACCCCCCAACATAAGCTGTTTTTTCAGTATTTCATTCATTCTTTTTCTGGTTTTTAATTCTTTATGTATACTTTCTCTAGGGAGGCAAGTTAGTTGCCACTGACTCCAACATTTCCAGTAAGACTTACTGTTCAAAGGATAGCGATTCTTCATTCAACTCAGATTTCTGACAATATTTGAGTCCATTCTCATCACCTCTTCTGTTCTGTTCTCCTCCCCCAAGAGCCTTTGGTTGTGTGGGTTAACAGTTGAAAAGGGAGACTGCTTCACAAGGCTAGCTTTTGTTTGTGGTTCATCAGACTTTCCTCACAGGTACCTGAATCGGCCTGGTAAATTTTTGAGTGAAGGCTAAATTTATTCTTGAGAAATACATTTTTTCCCATACAAATAATCAGCTGCAATCTTAAGACTGTACAATTTTCATTTTTTTACTTTTCTAATTTGCTCCAAATAAACATTTAAGAGTTGATGAAGACATTAAACTGGGAAAATAATTTAAGTTTTCTCATTCTTGTCCTTGCTTAGCATTTTACAAACTGGTACTCCTTTATTCCCAGCACTCTGGAGGCAGAGAGGTAGCCTGAACTACACTGTGGTTTCTCTACCATCCAGAGCTTACATAAACCTTGTCTTAAAAAAAAAAAAAAAAAAAGATGCTACAGGATGCCTGGAACATAGTTGTAATCCCAGAACTTAGGAGAGTGAGGTGAGAGAACCAACTTGGAGGCCAGCCTAGGCTACATAGTAAGAACCTGCCCACCCTGCGCCCCCCGCAACCGCTATGAACACCACCACACCGTGGACTCCACAACCAAGTGGTGCTACTTTCTGCACCTGGCCCCCAATCATATGCCAGGAACAACAAATAATAAATAATTGTCTTGGAATGACATGTGGCCATCAAAACTAGTGATCAACTAAATCACCTGGAACTCTTAAGATGAAGGAACTACAAAAGTTATTTTAAACACCTCAAAACATTAGCTTGTTTTAAGAACAACACAGAACTTTACATATTTCCCTGATATCTTGATTAAAGGGTAATTTTGTATTTCATAAATATAATTCACAGAATTAAGCTGGTGGTTATAAATCACCAGGCAGCAACAGACTTAACATACATAATTGTTTGAGTTCATTCAACACATTTCAAAATAAACTAAAATTTGCAGTACAAAAATAAAACCAATACTGTTTAGCATATTTGATCTGTATAGTCAATCTTCAGTCAAGTTGATTACCATATTTTTCTCTATAATACTCGTTAAAAAGAGTTGTTCTGCAGTCACATTGTGATATGCATTCTGAAAGAGAAGATGAAATACGGTTGTCATCAGTCACGCTCTCCAGACATTATCAAAGCGAGATGCTCTGGTATCTGAAAGCTAAAAGTTCATCAGATGTTAAGGTAAGTGCACATGTCAGTAACAAGTTGCATGGACCTTTGTTCCCTGCCTGCTCATTTTTTGCTTGAGAGTGTCCCCTAAGTCTCACTTTCCACAGGAGCTTTATCTGGAGCAGTAAGTTACAGGAAGACCAGAAATGTACATCAGAATATGCAATGTAAGAAGTGGGGGAGCAATAGGTGTCTGTGCTTAAAAACTGACCTGGAGATAAGATATCATAAAACATAGTGGTTGCGGGTGTAGGTGGGTGGGTTGGTTGCTTTATGGAACAGACTACTTACAGCCCACTTACTATGTAGTAAACAATGACCTTAAGCTCCTGACCTTTAATACAACAGCTCATTTTGCATCACCTATGATGTCAGCCATGTGATGAGATGAAACGGGAGGATCGTAAGTGAAGGCCAGCTTGGATTACAAGGAGAGTCCCTGACCCTAGATATTTTTTAAAAGATCTGAGATACTAACTCAATTGTAGAATACTTGCCCGGCCTTCATAAGTCCCTGAGGTCAGTTCCCAATCCAGCAAAAAATAGTAGCTGCTGCTGGGTGTGTAGATTAGTGGACCCTAGGTCCAATCTCCAGCACCACAGTTTTTTTTTAAATCCATCCTATTGATGTCTCCAGGAAGTTGTCTCAATATTCTGCTCTTGTCTCAATATTGTACATGTGCTATCGGAAATTCGGGCTGAGGGAAAAGCTCAACGTTCATTCTAATCTTAAACCTTTGTCTCACGTTAGAAGAATAAAAGACAGCAGTAAAATTCAACATTTCCCAACTAAGGGATTCAGGTGTTATTTAACAACTGATTTCCTGAGCTACTGCGGGATCCTTTACAGCAAACCACTCATTTCTAACTTTTAAACAATGTTTTTGTGCCGCTTATGGTGTGTCATTAATCTAAGAACTCCAACAAGAGGAAATCCCTTCTCATTCAAAAGTGGACCCTCAGGAACCAGTCCACCAGCATCAGTATCTGATCAAGAGCATCATGACCTGGTAAAGAGGTCTGCTACTTTGTCACCGTGAAGTCTTTCATAGGGTTACAGTTTCTAGACCACCTTGTCTCCTTTACTAAAAATGGGATCATAATTACTATAACCACAGTGATGATTTGGTGAGTTTGTGTGTCTCAAACATACCGGTTGATTATATTTAAATAGTGTAAAAAATAAGACTCCATCCCTCTTGGAGTTTGATGAAACAGTCACCATGAGGTTACCCAAAGAATCTGAGACCCACAAGTTAGAAGCTGCTGCTATGATAAAATGACCTCTGGACCAGAAAGAACCCAGTTTTCAGCCTTTGGGAGCTCAAGAGTGTGAAATAGGACACACAGGTGGCTGGAGACAAAAGTCAGTGGGTAAAGTACTTGCAGGGAACTGAGTTCTAGCCCCAGCACATTTGTAAAAAGCCAGGTGTGGTGACAAATACTTGTGATCCCAGCTGTAGATAGGTAACTGGCTGGCTAGATAGCCTAGAATGGTAAGTAAATTCTGTACCAGTGAGGGGCTGGAAAGATGGCTTGGCAGTTAAGAACACTTGACTGCTGTTCCAGAGATCCTGAGTTCTCTTCCCAGCAACCACATGGTGACTCACAACCATATATAGTGGGATCTGACGCCCTCTTCTGGCATAAAGGTGAACATGCAGATAGAGCACTCATAAAATAAATAAGTCTTTGTAAAAGAAAGGAGGGAGAAAAAAAGTGACACTCCACATTGACCCCCGGCCCAGCTTCCAGAGACACCTACACATGTATTCATCTACAAATGTGATGAACACATTACATACAATTTAAAACAGTAAAGTAGAAAAATTACCTGTTTCATCAAAGACATGGTGGCGTTTCCATAGTAGTGTAAAGAACTGTTTGGGTTGTTAAAGTTGTATTTAAAACCGGCGAGGTGAACTTCACTGCATATGTGAAATGCCAATGTGATGGCAATAATTCCTGTCGTAGGGTGTTTGGGTTTCTAAGAAGAAATCAGAAACTTAAAAATACAAATAAGCAGCCGGGCGTTGGTGGCACACGCCTTTAATCCCAGCACTCAGGAGGCAGAGGCAGGAGGATCTCTGTGAGTTCAAGGCCAGCCTGGTCTCCAGAGAGAGTGCCAGGATAGGCTCCAAAGCTACACAGAGAAACCCTGTCTCGAAAAAAAAAAAAAATACAAATAAGCTACATTCTTCCCAGACATACCTAGTCTGATGAAAATGGAGTTCTAAACATTAAAAAAGAGTAATAGTTAAGTCACCATTTTGTCCTAAGACTCAAGCCCAAAGAGAACCCACTACCCTACAAAGGCATATGCTGTGACTGGTATTTTGGAAAGTCAAAAGTGAAACATAGCTATAGTTTTGGCTCAGGGGGAAGCTGTGAATTGACAAGTACCCTGCTCATGTTCCACATGAGTCAAGCTCCTATGGAGAAGGCAAAGGCTTCGGAGAATTGAGAATACCAACAAAATGTAAGGACACTCTCTTCACTATAGCCTCTTGACCAACATGGTTTTTCCTTCCTCTTTCCAGCTTTTGAGATGTGAGAACTCTCAAATGCTCCCACAATGGTTGCTATGCCCAGCATATGTAGGAACTTCTGAAATTGAGCTAAGAGTCTCTTCTTCCTAAGTGGTATGCCTCTGGTATTTTGTGTAGCATGAAGTTGACTAACACAGAGTGCTTGAGACAATTCTTTTTTACTCTGAATAGCTGCATCCTTGTCCTGAAGCTATTCTGTACCCAGGGCTTCTGGGCAGCCCACTAGTCATGCAGGCCTCGATGTACAACATTAAAGATGAAGTTGTAAGAAATTAATTATTGAGCCTTCAGAAAAAGAGTATGTGAAGATCATACAAAGACAAAAGAAACCCAAAACACACACTTCTCACTTTTTTTTGCAACCTATAAAACATCAGATAATATTCATTTGGTGTCTAATTTCTGAACACAGTGATAGTCCTAAGAAAATTCCATCTGAACCATGGTTTTTAGCAGTTTCTGAAAGCTTTAATGTCCCTCTGTCCCCTTAGCTGCATCTTTAGTTTGAAAGCATGTGATGATACATACCTGATTTTTGGGAAACACTTTGGGAATTTGAAGCAGATTATAAGCTGCTTCTCTGATAATGTACGGATCTAATATTCTGATTTGGTATCGTTTATAGATCAAGTTTAAGGCTGGCATCTTCCAAAAGCCATTAGTGTTCTGAAATAAAGGACACAGAAAATGGGATGTTGTGAACGTATTTTACTTTAAGGGGGAAATACTGAAAGTCACCTGAACCAAATAGTTTTGCTAACTTACTATCTTGTTTCCTTTCATTATATTCAAGAGCCACAATAAGTCCTGGGGCTTAAAGACAATGAAAACCGCTGTGGAGTTGTGATCATTGTGAGCGGGGTCTGAAAAAACAGACTCTGGATAAAAAAGCCTGAAGGTTGTCCTTCTCCCAACATCCTCTTCATGTCCTAAAACAGGACCATTATTCATCCTGTGGGTAGTAAGACAGTGATAGATACAGGATGAGTAGAGTGTGAGTCCTTTTTTGTCAAGTTCTGAGGCTTCAGAATCTAATGGGCATCAGTCATTACTCCCACACTCAGAAGCACCCAAGACAATTGATTAATATTCTACAGTAATAACCAGGGAAATGATTCCTTTTTATGAAACAGCATCTGTATTTAAAAACAATGGCATCAGGCAGTCCTTTAGTCTGACCTGCACAGGACTAAAAGAAATGAGACTATGAAACCACAGAATTATAATGGTTAGAAGAGACCACATAACTGATAAGCATGAAGAATCACATTTAAGTTAGTGTAAAGACCCACTGAAATTGTGTTCTGGGGCTGGAGAGATACCTCAGTGGTTAAGAGCATTTGTTGTTCTTCCAGAGGACCAAAGTTCGGTTCCCAGCACCTATACGCTGGTTCACAACCATCCCTAAATCCAGTTCTGGGGGACTTCTGATCTCCACAGGCAACAGGCACATACACAGTATACTTGCATGCATACAGGCAAACACACGCATAAAATAAAAGTAAATCCTTTTTTAAAAATAGTCTGAAATTAAATAACTACATAAAAATTCTGTATCACACTCAGCACAGTTAGACAAATTCCTTTAGTTACTGAACTATAAACAGTAAAAAGATCTGCTGTTGGATTAGTGAATACTCAAGGCCAATGTTAGACAATCACTGTTTGTGCATACAGAATAAAGGCATTCTATGAAAAAGGGATGTTTTGTTTCCAAAACAATGGTCCTTGGAAGGATAAATACTGTTTTACCCTTTTGTCAACTAACTCCATGTAATACAAGACACTTGCAGTAGCTTTTCAAAATGTACCCATGGTGTTTCCCTACAAAGACTTGCCAAGGTTCTAAAATTATCATAATTAAACATCTATAAGTGAGAAAAGGGATAAATCCAATTGTTTTATAAATCACCACGGCTTCTTCAGAATGGGTAATCAACCGAAAGTAAAATGACCTTGCTATGCAGAAATCAGCATGTTACCCAGGCAGCTTCCAGACACACTGCAAGGTCTTCGGTCTTCCCAGTGTGTGATCACATCATGGGCTACTAATACAATGGCTGGTTCAGGAAAACACACACACACACACACACACACACACACACACA